TGGCATAGTAGACCATATAATTGCCTGATTCATAATGTCCAATACCAGTCCATTTTATTTCACTAATGCCTAGGATATTAATCTTTATGCGTTCCATTTCATTTTTGACGACTTCCAATCTTCCTTGATTCATACTTCATACATTCTGTGTTCTGATTACTAATGGATGTTTGCAGCTGTTTCTTCTCATTTTGAGTCGTGCCACATCAGCAAATGAAGGCCGGAAAGCTTGATTCCATCCATGGCATTAAGGTCAACTCTACTTTGAGAAGGCAGCTCTTCCCCGGTCGTATTTTGAGTGCCTTCCAATCTGAGGGGTTCATCTTCTGACACTATATCAGATTATGTTCCACTGCTATTCATAAGGTTTTCACCGGCCAATATTTTCAGAAGTAGACGGCCATGTCCTTCCTAGTCTGTCTTAGTCTGGAGGCTCCTCTGAAACCTGTCTGCTGTGGGTGACCCTGCTGGTATTTGAAATACCGGTGGCATAGTTTCCAGCATCACAGCAACACGCAAACCACCACAGTACAGCAACTGACAGATGAGTGGTGGATTTGTGCATTAAATGTATGTAAATTTTACCTTTAAAAAAAAATCTGAAAATAATACAATCAAGTGGTGAGTGGGTAGAGGTGGGGATGAAATGAGAGTGGCACAGTTATCGCAGCTGGGTGATGGTACCCTGGGTGTTTATTACACTGCTCTTTGTGTTTGAAGTTTCCCATAATAAAAAAGTTTTTAAGTAATATTCTGGTTTATCATAAAATTCAAAAGATAGTACTTAGAATTGCTAAATCAAGAAATCACAATGTAAGCATATTATTTCGGGAATAGCAGCAATAAGAGGGGAAAGCGATTTAAAGACATGAAAGTGGTTGCCTTTGGACATCACAGGTGAACTGCCCCTGGGGAGGGCTGGAGTAGGCAACATTCTTTTTTTGTTTTATAAAGCTTTTAAGCCTTATTTTTAAGCCTATGCACGTATTACTTTGATAAAATAATGTATTCGTTGCTTGGGTTACTGCATTGTTTTCACGGAAAATTTCTACTTGATCCTATATGAATAATTAGGCATCGACCAGTACTTTGAATTTATAAAAATTCTGTTTACCCATAATAATTTTGGCAGTATGCCCAATTATTTCAGAAGGCAGTGATTTAAATTTGAATTCCTACTTTGGATGAGTAGGGCTAAGAAGTTGGATTTCTCCCTGTCTCCACTGTTGCCCCTGCAGTTTGTGCTTTACACGGTAACCAAGAGTGATCATAAATAAGCTTGTATCACTTTCCTGTTTTAAAGGCACCGAATACCTCCCCGTTGCAATTAGAATAAAGTTCATACTCTTTATCATGGCCTGCAAACAAGGCCGTAAATAATTTAAATGATTGGACTAGTGCCTGATTCTCCTGTCTCCCTCCTTTGAGCACTGTGTGTCAGTCATAATGGCCTTCTTTTGCACACTCATAGCTCCTTCTGCCTCAGGGCCTTTGCACTTGCCATTCTTTTTTTCTTCTTTTGGTGGCAGTATATACAACCAAATATACATCTGTTCATAATTTCTACATGTACAGTTCAGTGACATTGGTTACATACTTCACATTGTGTCACCATTCTCACTGTCTCTACCCATATTGTTTCATTACCATTATTTAGACTCTCCGCCCCTTAAAGTTTTCATCTGTGCTTTAGATTAACTTGTCAGTTTGAACTCATATAGATACTTTTTTATAAACATGCAATGCTCAAGGTAAACATTCAGGGTTCTCTCCAGTCTCAGTGGATCTAGTAAGTCTGGTTTCCATATGAATTTGAAGTTTTGTTCCCTGATTTTCCTCCTTTTGATCAAGATCCATCTGCTGAGTCCTTGATTTCAAACGTTCAGTAATAGTAGCCGGGTCCATCTTTTACTTCTGGTCTCATGGCAATGGAGGTAGTGGTTCATGGAGGCAATGAAACCTGCTGGCCATTTCCTTCTCTGGTTCCTGGGTCTCCTTCTTCCTGTGCTATTCCGGGTGAATAGAGATCAGTTGTTGTATCTTGGGTGGCTGCTTGCAACTTTTTAAGACCCCAGGTGCTCCTCACTGAACTAGGAGATAGAACAGAAACTAAAAACAACTTTAGACCAATTGACCAGATAGACCCATGAAGCCATGACCCTAAACCTTTGAATCAAGAAAACTAATCCCAGGAAGTGTTAGTTGTACCTAAGTAGCATCAACAGGCACAGCCTTTTTTTTTTACTACTGTTGTAGTTGTAAAATTATATAAAATATTTTATTTTCCATTTCACCCTTTTTTTTTCTGGTGTTCAGCTCAGAGTGTTAAGATCATAAAATATTTGTCCATTTGTGACTGACTTATTTCGCTCAGCGTAGTGTCTTCAGGGTTTATCCATGTTGTAGCATATATCAGGACTTCATTTTTCTTTAAGGCTGAGTAGCAGTCCACTGTATGTATGTACCACATTTTTGTATTCATTCATCTGTTGATGGGCACTTGGGTTGTTCCAGCCTTATTGCTATTGTGTATAATGCTGCAGTGAATATGAGTGTACATTTGTCTGTCCGTGTCATTACTTTTAGGTCCCTAGGGAGTGGGATTGCTGGGTCATATGATAGATCTATTTCTAATTTTGGGGGGAATCGTCATACTGTTTTCCACAACAGTTGTAGCATCTTACATTCCCAACAGCAATTGATAAGGGTTCCAATCTCCCCACATCCTTGCCAACATTTGTTTTTTTTGATCTTTACCATTTTAGTAGGGGTGAGGTGGTATCTCATTGTAGTTTTGATTTGCATCTCTAATGGCTAATGACGATGAGCATCTTTTCATGTGTTTGTTGGCTGCTTGAATACCCTCATTGGTGAAGTGTGTTGTACTTGTCATTCTTTATGAAACTGGCTGCTTCTCATCACTCAGGGCTTGATTCACAATTTAATTCCTGAGAAAGGCCTTCATTGCCATCTCTTAGAGTAGCTCCCTCGCACCTTCTCCATCTAGAGCAGTGGTTCTCAGCATGAGATCTTCAGACCAGCATCATCGACATTGTCTGGAGGGTTGTTTTTTGGAAATGCAGAATCTTAGGCCCTACTGAACAAATTCTGATTTTAACAAGATCCCACTTTATATTTTCAGCAGCACTGATCTAGAGTACACCCGAAAAAAAAAAACCCTTGCGGTTGAGTTGATTCCGATTCATAGCGACCCTATAAGACAGTGAAACTGCCCCATAAGGTTTCCAAGGAGCAGGTGGTGGATTCAGACTGCCAGCCTTTTTGGTTATCAGCCTGAGCTCTTAACCACTGCGCCACCAGGGCTCTAGAGTACAACCAGTGCCCCCTATTTCCCTGGGTATTGTCTCAGTAGCTTGTCACTTTCTGAAGGTAACTTAGTCTCCTGTGTGCATGTTTACTGCTTCTCTCCCCTAAATAGAATATAAGCTCCTTAAGGGCAGCAGCCTGTTTGGCCTGCTCACTCCGGGATCCCCAGCACCTAACCAACCCAGTGTCTGCACCCAGTGGATGCTCAGTAACTGTTTGATGAGTAAAAGAATGAATGAATATCATGGAAATTAGTTTGTGTTCCTTGAAATGTGTAACTGTGCGATAAAAATCTTCATTGCTCTCACTTGCTTATAAAATTTGGCTTGTTTTTGTCTCCCAACATCATTATAAAGGGAGTTCACCACATATTTTGGATATTGAGTACTGTTAAGCTGGTGTGACTAATAAAGAATCAGTTGCTGATCCTTGTTTTCAGGCAGTTTGCCCTCAGAACTCAAGTTAAGGTTTTATTAGAGTGCTTCCCTAATGGCTTCCCGGGACTGCTTGTTTTCTTTTTGGTATTTAAAAAGCACCCTTATTCAGAGTTAAAATTGTCTTCAAAGTGTTTTTTCCAAGTAAATGTTAATTTGACATTTGTATAAAGTGTTATTAAATCAGAATTTAATAATCCTTTTTTAAAAAGTAAGAAAATAAGATTCTAAAAATGGTAGATGCAAAATTTGAAGTTAAACTGCAAATAAAAATTCATGAGGCATATAATATGCCAATTTTTTTACTTTTAAGATATGCTTCTAAGAGAGGCTTACAATTTCTGATATGTTGTTTTTTGGTGCCGTCGAGTTGGTTCCAACTCATAGCAAGCCCATGTACAACAGAACGCAACACTGCCCGGTCCTGGCCATCCTCACAGCCGTTGCTGTGTTTGAGCCCATTGTTGCAGCCACTGTCAGTCCATCTCGTCAAGGGTCTTCCTCTTTTTCGCAGACTCCCTACCTTACCAAGCATGATGTCCTTCTCCAGGAACTGGTTCCTCCTGATCTAGTCCTGCCTTTAAAAGACATGTTTCTGATGCATACTCTGATGAGATTTGTCAGGAAGCAACTTTTCAGTCGCCATACTTTGGATGAAGAAGTAGGATAGCTTAAATTTATAGCTTTTAACTTGGGATGATTTATCCCCCCAGGACACATTTTTGGCTATGTCTGAAGACATTTTTGGCTGTCACAACTGGGGTTAGGGGGTTGCTACTGGCATCTAGTAAGTAGAGACCAGGGAACTGCCAAATGCTCTATAGTGTACCAAACAGGCCCCTACCACAAAGAATTACCCAGCCCAAAATGTCCTTGGTGTCACTGCTGAGAAACTGGCATAAATTGATAAGCCTTCCTCTGCAAACTCTGACGCCATCAGGAAAAGAATCCTTTGTCCTCCTTTCGGAAAATAGAAATATATAGGAGTTGGCAATTTATACATTCACATGGATATATTGGCAGTTAGATATGCTAGATATGTTAATTTTAAGTCATTATTTTCAATCAAATCTAATGGCCTGCCTCCTTGTTTAGGGTAAATCACTCTTTAAATAAAGAATGTTTACAAAATTTGGCAACTTAGTTGATTGTAAAATTGGCTAAAATTTTCTGATAATTTTACATTTTTTAAAATAGGGAAACTCAAATATAGGATTACTGGTTTTCCTTATTTTCCAGATGGGGTCGAGGATTTGGTCTTTTGGGTTCCATTTTTGGAAAGGATGGTGTATTAAACCAGCCAAACAGTGTCTTTGGACTTATATTTTATATACTACAATTATTACTTGGTAAGTATTTATATAGCATTATAAAAATACATTTGTTATATTCTATTTAGTGCTTTGTGTCTTTGCCCTGAAGTGTGTCTTTATATTACATAAAAGCATATGTTAACGATAGAACTACTAGTTTGTAGCACATTTTTGTGTTGTGAAAATTTGATTCATTCAGATTTTGATGGTGATAATGCTGAACTCAGTATCTGTTGGTATTTAATCAGGGATAGTAGCATTCCAAGTGTCCAGAAAAACCAGTCCCATTCAGGGAAATTATGACTCCAAACAAGGCTTCCTGCCAAAACTTTTCTCATTAGTTTATAGACTCTGTAGCTATTTTAAAATACTGTGTATTGAGAGGAAACCCTGGTGGTGTAGTGGTTAAGAGCTACAGCTGCTAACCGAAAGGTGGGCAGTTCAAATCCACCAGGCACTCCTGGGAAACCCTATGGGGCAGTTCTACTCTGTCCTAGAGGGTCGCTATGAGTCGGAATCGACTCGACAGCAATGGTTTTTTGTTTTTTTTTTTAATGTATTGAGAAAACATTAAACGTGAATGTTATTGATAATTCGATCACCTTTACATGGCTGCTGTTTCTGTTCTCTTCTGCTTGCTTTGGTTTCAGTAGAGTCTTCATGTGTCTCTTCTCTTAGGTATTTTGTTATTGTTGACATCTAGGTTTCAAATTTTTTATGTTCTAAATAATGCTGCGATGGACAAGTTTGGTCAAAGTCCACCACCCTCTTTGGAATTATTTCCACAAAATAAATTTTTAGGCATGGGGTTATGAGTCAAAAGACCTTGATATTTTTTGTGGATCTTAATAGGTATTGCCAAATTGCTTTTTCCCCACTTGCCTCATTTTCTGGAATCCTCACCAATGTTCATTTTCTTAAAAGCTTTCTGATTTAATAGTTCATATTAGTAGCTCATTATCTTAATTTTACTATATTTTCATTTCCTTTTATTGCCAGTTTAATTATTGGGGTCCTGGTAATAGTCCATTTTCATGTTTGCTACAGACATTTTACCTGTTCTGTTTGTTATCTTTTTTTATGTCAGTTTTGTGATTTTTGTATAGAAGTTTTATACTTTTAGAGTTCAATCCATCCATTTTTGCCTTTGCATCTCAGTCGTTATTATTTTATTCCATTGTCTGCCAGTTCTTCCATCTACCGGAAGGTGATTTGTTATGAGACAAATTGTGAATCTGCATTTTTCTCAGTAGTCCTGTAGTTTGCCCAGTCCCATGTCTATATATTTATCCTGCAGAAATAGAGATGTCTGCGCAAGGATATTCATAGCAGTACAGTTAAAATAGCAAAAAATTGCAAGTAGCTTAGCAATAGGTAATGGTTGAATAAAGTGAGGTATACACATACTAAAAAATACAAAGTAGCCATTAAAAGGGAAGTGTAGGTCTATCAGGACATTGTTTAGTGAAATAAATAAATTGTGACATAATAATAGGTACAGGATATGTTCATATATGTGCATATAAATGCATAGAAAAGGGTCCAGTTGTTACCTTGTGGGGGGAGATTTTCCACTTTTTATTCCATATATTTCTGATTTGTCTGGATTTCTAAAGAAGAATATAAAGCCCAAATATAAGGCGGTCGTTCATTTTCCCTATTGACAGAGCCTAAAAAAGCTTTTGAATATATGAATTTTTGGAGATAGTGAAGTGGAAGAGTCAGATAGTTAAATTCCTATTTATAATAGTTTAATTTTTAATTAATTATACACGCATGTTTTAAGTCACGTGTCATGTGTATTTTTTCCAGTCACAGTTTATGAAGTTTTTTTTCCCCCCCGACTCTTCACAAGCATTTTTAATGTCAGTGTCTTTATCATTGGAGGTCCATGTGAACTCATCTGACACATTTTCCAGGGCACATCATCTTCACTCCCTTCTAAGTTTGATACAGCATTTTTAAATTTAATATTTCCATTGACATGCTTCAAAAGTAAAAAAAAGTCCAAAAATCAGTGAAAAATCTCCATCCTACCCTTTACCCCTCTGCCCAGTTTTCACTGTCCCTCATCCCCGGCAGGTAGTTTTTTTCTTTTTTTGGTTTTTCTAGAGTTTTGTTTTTTTGTTATTTGTTTTTTTAATGCACGTACAAGAAAATACAACTATATAATCTTCATTTTCCCCCTTTTAATACAAAAGACAGATACTCTAGAAGACATTCTATAGCTTGCTTTTTGTTTGTTTATACCCGCTCTTGGTGATCATTCCATATCAGGACATTGTCTTCATTCTTTTTTACAGCTGCAGAATATTCCATTGCATGACTGGACTGCCGTTTTTATTTAGAGTTACAGCACATTTTAAATTCCATTGGAATGTTGTTCCAACCCACAAGTACCCAGTTACATTAGGACAGGTTTAATACTACTGTATTTGGCTAATAGCCAGTATTAAGTGCCAGGTAGTATTTTAGTGTTTTATACCTATTACCTCATTTAATCCTCACAGTAGTCTCTGGAGATAGGTATGATTATTTATTCCAGTTTTACAGTTGAGGAAAGAGGCAGAGAGAAATTACTTTGTTCGTGTGCTTTTGAAACTAGCTTTGTTAGATAGAATTGAAGTGACAGCATTAACTTTTGAAGTTGTAGATGTTTAGCATAGGACAGGAGTCAGCAAATTTTTTCTGTAAGGGCCAGATAGAAAAGAGTTTAGGCTTGGTGAGCTGTGGCAACTACTGACCTCTGCCACTGTAGTGTGAAAGCAGCTACAGACAATATATAAACCAATGAACGTGGCTGCATTCTAATCAAACTTTATTTATAAAAGCAGGTGGTTGGCTAGATTTGCACATCCCTAGCATAAGTAATTCAGCAGGCACCATGGATTTCAGCTCCTTTATTAGCCTTTTTAAACCTACTACCACCTGATCTTATTTTTTTCTTGTTCCTCTTATCCTTATTCCATTAGCTGTTGGGTAGAGGTAGTTTAAAAGCTCTGCCTTCTCCTTTAGTCTTGAAAATAAATGCACATGTTCTCAATACTGTTGGCGACAGGAATTTACAAAATGATACATGTGAAGATGTCTGAGAAAGTCAAGAGTTCTGGCAGGTTTTTGTCGAAAGCCCTGGCTTAACGTGCACAACTGCATTTTTTTCCTAAATCTAGTTTGACTCCCATCTGGCCAAATGTGGTTTGCCTTATCCACTCTTTCTGAAACATTTATCACGACTTTTTTTTTTAAACTTCAACACTATGTTGGTGTAATTATCTACCATCATGGATTTTTGAGGAGCCCAGGTAGTGCAATGATTAAGTGCTTGGCTGCTAACCAAAAGGTTGGTGGTTTGAACCCACCCAGTGGCTCCACAGGAGGAAGACTTGGTGATCTGCTCCTGTAAAGATTACAGCCTAGAAAACCCTATGGGGCAGTTCTACTCTGTCACGTGGGTCGCTATGAGTCAGAATCGGCCGCACATAATAAAAACATGGATTTTTGAGAAATTTGATCAAAACATGGAAAAGCAAAATTTACTGTCCACGGATGGGGACCCTGTGGTGAAAAGGCCGGGATGGGGGTGAGGGGGTCTTACCAAATGTCTCTAGCTTGGAAGAGATGGTTGTGGTCCTCAAGTTCCTTTTTTCCTTAGAGTTGGGGCTGTCAATTTTACAAATCGGCTTCATTGCATAATGTGATTACAAGATGGCATGTTTTCTTTGCATGTATATCCTTAACTAATGCTAGTTATGAAATAAATAATACTAGTTCATCAGGTATATTGATAGAGCCAAAAATTGTAGCTATAATAGCATCATATCTGCAAAGTCAGCGTGTGTAATCTTAACAAAAAGACCGGTTTTGTTCTCAAATTTCATAGTTTTGTAGTGAGATCAGCATTATTCCAACACTGCAGCAAATCACAAAATGTTAGCTGTCAACTCTGGAACTTTCTCTCCAGCGTCAAGGCCTGGCTGAGCCAAGTGTTCCCTTCTCTTGCAGGCATGACAGCGAGTGCAGTTGCAGCTTTGATCCTTATGACGTCCTCCATCGTGTCTGTCGTGGGGTCTCTGTACCTGGCCTACATTCTGTACTTTGTGCTCAAGGAGTTTTGCCTCATCTGCATCATCACATACGTGCTGAACTTCATTCTTCTTATCGTCAACTACAAACGACTAGTGTACTTGAACGAGGCCTGGAAACGGCAGCTGCAGCCCAAGCAGGACTGACAGCCGCTGGGCTCCTGACTGACAGTCTCAAGTCCCTTTTCCATTAAGTTTATTTTGCAGCAGTTTTTTTTTAATTCTTCACAACAGACACTCTCCCCAAAAATCTTAAACTGATTTTTTAAAATCCTGTAAATTAGAAGGGGCCCTAGCTGTTTTCTGTGTCAATCTTCAGTTTAAATATGGATACAAAAAAGGATTCACCGAGCCAATCAAAGACAAGCTTTAACTTTACTTTGAAGATGTTTCTGAAATAGTAAAATGTCACCTTAACCCCCTGCCCAATTGTAAAGTGAGCAACCATTGCTAGTAATTCTCTGATGTGTATAAATTCAATTTCAGGTATAACAGATGTGATCATGACATGAAAATATTTTAGAATAGATACTGTATTAAATATTGCCATGTTTACAATATATAATATGTTTTTAGCCAATGGATTTAAACGTGTAGATTCAACTAGAATCCATTTATGTGATATTTGTAAATAAAGGTAGAAATATTGGATCCACCCCTGCAGAGCTTACTCTACAGGTTAGTTAAGGTGTAGCAATGAAGAACTGCCAGCGCAGTGCTGACAGATGAACTAGTGAAAATAGGAAGCCCATCCAGATAGCATCTCATGAAAAGTGCTGGCAGTCGTGGGTACTGCATTGACAGCAGAAATATAGGATACAGGGTGGTTGGTTCATCTCCTTCCTCTGAAAGGAAGAAACTACATTTGGATGTTCAAGTCAAGTTTGTACCTAGTCATAAAACTGGACCAGTTGTAACCTTACAGAATGAGTCATGTAACCAGACTTCAGTCCATGGCCTTGAGGACACTAATGATGAAAAAAATCGGTAGATTTCTTTTTGAGAAAAGCTGGAAACATTAATATGGTATTTTTAGGTCAAGTCTCTTACAACCGTTGAATTCTTACCCAGATATTTTTCCTTCATGTTGGTGCCAGTCAGCCAACCAGACAGTATTACGACTCTGACGTAACCAAGATAAGCCCAATCGCTCCAGAGGAGAACTGCTCTATTTGGTAGTTGTTTCCCTTAACTGTTTCCTTCCACACTAACTAATCAGACATCTAGTTGAACTGGTTTAGGATCAAACACTAGATTTGTAAACTTCAGGGCTGGCACGCTGCTCAGTTTGTCATCAGAGGAGCCACCACAGGTAGAGATGCCTGCAGGTGAATCACAGTAACACCGTCACCGCTCTCTGCTAACTGTGGGAGTACAGGAGGGATTTTTTATAGTGATCTGAATAAACCCAAATGAAATTGTGACAGTACATTTCTGTGGTTAACATCTTCTGTCAGAATGTTAAAAGTGCCTTCTGTCTTACATTCTCAAACCAAATATTTTGTGTGTTGAACTTGGGCAGAAGTGTCCTTCCTTCCTTCTCAACATGGAATAGAAAACACATTCTTTAGGAAAGGTTCTGTATGATCATTTTATTCCTTAGACAGAGAAGTAATAGCAATGTCTTTGCTTCCAATTTGATTAGTCATTATGTTAAAAATAGACAATTAAACCAGTAACTTTTGAGTGCTTTATTTGCCTTCTTTTTGAAGGGAGGGGGCAGGCTCTGTAAACTACATTGTGTCGAGTCAGCAACTGTTCAGTAGTTTTCCAACTAACTGTAGTCATTGATGCCATGTAGCCTTCTGGCCCCAGGCAGGTGTAAAATCTGAATTGTAATGAACTTTTGACCAGTTTCTTAAAAGCTGGCTTATGTTTTCCCATGAATGTGAATATTTCAATGCCTGTTTTATGAAGTATGTGTTGTTCTTGTGTTCTAAACTAGTTAAAGAACTCTGGGAAGCACCGATTAAATGCCTGGTGTTTATGGAGACACAGGTCCTAATGTTAAGAGCTGTATCAAGGAGGTCAGCTTGTAGTAGCACTTCCTGTTCTACCACGGCACGTCTTGGTTCTCTTTTCACACATGAGTGGAAACGGCTTAACGGTTAAGATGGCTGTGGTGTACATAACATCGGTGGGCGGCACTGAACAAGTTCCTTGTATCCCAATTTCAAGTGGCTTTTCATCCTATTTGGTATCAGTCAGCAAAGTACAGTTAAAGCTTGTCTTGATGTTGCATTCTTGCAGAAGTCTTGAATTTTTACATGAGAAAATATTAAAATGTCTAGCCAGATCCTTCAGGTTTTTCCTTTGTGTCCCTAAGCCTTGGGGAAAACACTGTTTCAGTTATATAAAAATTGTTTTTGCCACATTCCTATGACCCAGTAGAATTAACATTCTTTTTTTCTCACTGAGAGATGTACACACGCTGCCTGAAATCCCAGCACCACAACACCAGTAAGCAACAAAACCCTGTTGTGTGCTAAGTTACTTGGTATTTTTTGCCCTGGAAGACGTTCAGGCTCCCCTCCACGCCCTCTACCCCACCCTAGAAAGGGTAGCAAGGGGGGAAACACAGTGTTTTAAAATTTGAGGGTTGTTATAAGACTATTTGACACTGAATATTTAAACACTGCAACATTACTAACCACCAACTCTGAAGGATTAAAGGAAAAAAGTTTTTAGCAGTAATTCCATGCTTCATTGAAGTTTTTGAAGTGATTGGCAACAAATGAAGCCTCTTATTTACTTGATAGTCATAAATGTCCTTTGAAGAAATAAGAGAAGTGGTTCAGTGGTAAATCGTAGGGAATCTAGGTGGTTCTGGAGGATTTCTCTTGGTTTCTCATTGCTGCTAGTTGCTGTCAGTGAGGGTAACCTTCTGGTGAGAAAACTCAGGTTTAACTAGCTGTGTGTCAGGAATTACACTGTAACTTGATATACGTATCTCCTTAAATCCATTACTTTCAAAGACTGTTGAAAGCATTACCCATTTTCATACAGAGACAAAAATTTGTCATTTGGCTCCAGGGATCTTTGGACCTACTAGGTAGGACATAGGACCAAGACTACAGTGAAATTAAAACTATTTGTTGGCTTTACTTTGCTTGGTTTTCATTTATATTTATTTTTAAAAGACTGTCAGCAAAAGCGCAACGTTATCTTCAGCAGTGATTGGTACCACTGCTTGACGTCATTGAATACTGACAGGAAATATCTTCAACATCAGTATTAGACAGATGCCAACAGAGAAACCCATCATCATTCGGGGGAGCCATAACTAATAAACAACCCTCGTCCTCATGTATTTTGTCCCAACACGCGTTAGTGAAACGTTCGATTTAGGCATTTTAGGCAGCACTTATGAGTCCTGATTTGTGAGAAATATCCTCGAGTAAAACAAAAGGGGTGCGGGTGGGACTCCAGACTACTCCAGGTTAAACGTTTTTTTGACAAATTGGCCCAGAAAAGGTGAAATGTTTTGTTATTGTACAACTGTAATATTTAGCATGGCCTAAATATTAGGTGTTTGATCTGTATAGTATGTTCCATCAAAAATATTTATTACTAGTGCTTTAAGCTCCAGAGTAAGCATTCATTGAAAATGGAGTTCACTGGGCAGATTTCCCCTTTAATATAGATAGAAATATTCTTTATCAGAGATTTAGGACACAGTTTTGCTAACTGGTAAATAAAAACAAATGTAAATATGTAAGAATGTTTATTTGTTGCACATAACTTTTTGGTATAAAATAATAAATGTAGACGTTACCTGTGGAAGCTGTGCTGCCATCATTCTTATACTGCACTGTTGCATTTCAAAGATGGAAATGAACTCAGTCTTTTTAGGCTCACAAAGTTAATACTGAAACCTCATTTCTACAGTTATCCTGAGTTGATTCTTTCTCTCTTAAATTATATTTAACTGATTTTTTTTGAGATTCTAGTTCGTGGAATTCCTGTGGGTTTATTAGGAATGTGATTGTCAAGAATTAATGACACAAAGTGTTACTGCCTACAGTTCTGCAAGCACATAAAAAAACCACAACCCGTTACCGTCAAGTAGATTCTAACTCCTAGTGATCCTACAGCGCAGAGGAGAACCGCCCTGTGGGGTTTCCAAGGCTGTAATCTCTACAGGAGCAGACTGCCACATCTTATTCCGAGGAGCCGCTGGTGGGTTCGAACCACTGCCTTTTGGTTAGCAGTAAAGTGCTTTAACCACTGCACCACGAGGGCTCCTTGTAAGCACGAAGATGTATCATCAGCTGCTTTTCCACTTTTCAATGCGTGGCTTTACTTTAGCTCCACCTGAATACTCCACTACTGTCAGAGTCCTCTGATAAGGTAACATCTGCAAGAAAAGTGAACCTGAAATGAATTTGAAATGCGGCTTCGCCACACTTTATTGTTCTGTGCTAGAACCTTGGGGCCTAAGAAATGGGCCTGCTGCTCTCATTTGTAACATATAGGTGTACCTGTTACGTTTAATTTTTAAACTGTTAGCTAAAGAGTCCTACGTATTGTTCTTTGACATTGAATTAGAACACAAAATTTGATTCCTTCAAGGAATTTTAAGTTCAGTGGTGACAGAAGAAATATGCAATTCCTAGAATTCCTAACTTACTATTTGAACCAAATGCACTCTCATTTTTAAAAGCAGCTGGCACGGTGGTTAAGGACTTGGCTGCTAACCAGAAGGTCGGCATTTCAAACCCACCAGCTGCTCCGTGGGAGAAAGATGTGACAGTCTGCTTCTGTAAAACTTTACAGCCTTGGAAACCCTATGGGACAGTTCTACCCTGTCCTATAGGGTTGGTTGCTGAGTTGGAATCAACTCAGTGACAGTGGGTTTTTTTTTTTTTTTTTATAGATGCCTAGTAAGTGAGGCTTCATTACCTTCACCCTTTCATAGAGCATAGAAAGGAGGGCTAAAAAGGCATGTCTGCTAGGCTTGTCATCAACCACAAAAGGGAACTGAGTTGTGTCGACTTGCATTGGCTCATTGTATTCCCATTTGATTGGAGACAAAAAGGAGTATTTTCCCAAAGCATTTAGCATTCAACCAGGATTGATAAATGCTGAAACCTTAGCAATCATGCCCCCTGCTATGAAAGAAGAGAGAAGAAATGCTTCCTTAAGGAAAGGCCATTCTCAGGGAGAAGGGAGCTGGAGCCACTCTGGAGGTGAAAGGCGTGGGGCACTCGTGTGTAGGCGCAGCCTGTGGGAAGGCCTCGTGGGGCTCCGTGGAGTCAGTTGTGACAAACCTGACAGGCTTTTACACGCATCTGTCCATTCCATCAAGATTAATGTCTGGGTTAGAACAACGTCCTGGAAGGACGGGTACCCGGAGACAGTCTTCAACTTTTACTTTTCTTATGCTTGTCATTTTAACCATGTGAACATAAACCAAAAAACCCAAACCAGCTGCTGTCGAGTTGATTTTGACTCATGCAACCCCATGTGTGTCAGAGAACTGCACTCCATGGGATTTTCAATGGCTGATTTGGGGGAAGTAGATTGCCAAGCGTTTCTTCCAAGGCACCTCTGCGTGGATTCGCACCAGCAACCTTTCAGTTAGCAATTAATCACTTAACCAATTGCACAACCCAGGAACTCCCATGTATACGTTGTTGTTGGTTGCCATTGAGTTGATTCTGATTCATGGCAACCCCATGGTTATACAGCTTGTTAATTACTCCAACACAGTATCACTTCTATAAATTTGTTAGTGCATGTGGGACTTGGGCTCATCAGGCTGTGTCAGTCTTTGACTCTCACTTGGTTGAGCTGACCTGGGTTGATGAGTGAGCATGGTGGCACTAGGACTGGGGGGCGAGCACCGACAGCACATGCTGTAATCGGTGACTCTGAGCTGCGGGCCCTGAAGCAGCACCTCTCAACAGTCAGCAGTTAGGGCTGTGAGACGCCTGATACATGAAAATGATTCCACATTCTTTTCGGCAGCACTGTATCATGTAGACCGTTCAGTGTATGGATGGTCACTTTTAAGCCAACTCCTTATACTAGAAAAGCCTTTATTTTCACTTCTCACTTTCCCTTCTAGCAGATTACCACAAAGCCCAGGCCCCAAAGTTCCCGGCGCCTGCCGTGCATATCCGGGGGCACGGCTCCGCGTGTGGAAGCTGCCTGTTACCGGGGAAGAGGGCGCTGCCAGGTAGAGCCACAGAGGTACGGGTTGTGCCGTGCAGAGGTAGTCCTTGCTTTAGAGAGTAAACAGGCTGTTTCCCAAACACTGGGCCTTCACCACTGAAGGGAGATGCTTGGTTTCGTTGGCAATTCTCCAGTATCTCTCTCGCAAAATAAACGCTGCACCTTTGGGTTGTCTCTGGCGAGTGAAAATCCCCTTTTTGTTCCCCATTGCTCTCTGCGGTGCTGAAAACAAGCAACAAGTGTTTCAGGTGACTTCTGACAGGCCAAATCGGAACCAGGCTGGGCATTACATAGAAATGTTCGCTACTAGGTCAGGGTGCTGGGTCTGAACGGGTATCTGAAATGACAACTTATGGGTTAAATACTTAAATACCACTGCTGCCCCCAAGCCCCTCAGCTCCCTCGCGTGTTAATTTCTAGTCTGTTAGGGGAAAAAAGTCTGAAATAGTTTATCTTTTACTTCCAAAATAAAGTTTGCAACATTCTGGGTACCCCGCTGCCTGGTCACTGGAGGGTGTCTGGGACAAGGAGTTGCCCTCGGAAAGGCTCAGCCCTTTCTTATGTTGAAGGACACCCTTGTGGTGGTGGTGCTGGTTGTTAGCTGTTGTCAAGTTGGTTGTGACTCATGGCGACCCATGTGTGCGGAGTAGAACTGCTCCACAGGGTTCTCAAGGCTGTGACCTTTCAGAAGCAGACTGCCAGGACTGGCTTCCGAGGCAGGTCTGGGTGGGTTCAAACGCCAACCTTTCGGCTAGTAGTTGAGCACTTAACCATTTGCCACCAGGGACTCTTGACTTGGGCCTTTCTGAAGAGATGACTCTGCTCGTGGAAGCTGGAGTCCTGGTCAGTCAGAGGTGCCCATGTGAGATCTACTCGCGGGCTTCTAAGTCCTCACAGGTGGACTTCCAGCTTGGCTCCCACCTCTGGTGGGTGGTCAGCCAGAACCCAAGCTGAGAAGGGAGCAGATCTGGCAACGGCCTTCAGGGCTGCACTCTCAACACACCTTCTCCACCTCCAAGTGAGCTCAACAGCTTCTGTTAAATGGCAAGTAAGATCTTTCCCATTAAAAGTTCAAGACGTGATCATTTCTTCCACAAAAAGCAAATGCCAGGCACTGTGCCAAGCACTTCAGCAAATGGAATCTTTCCATTGACCTGCAAGGTGACAGGCGCTATCCCCACTCTGCAGGTATACCACAAGGTTAGGTGACTTGCCCAAGGTCACACAGCATATCTCTCACTCCACAAAGCCAGTGCACTTATCATGAATCCAGATTACCATCCAGGTATTTCCAGAAGCCGTTAATATTTGCCAAGCCTAACAGAGGTTCGTGTTCTCATTCTCTTTACTCCCTTCTCGCCTCATCTTGTTCATTGCTTCCTTTATCCCCTCTCCATCCTAATTTTCAATTAAACTTTAACCTTTCAAAGACCTGTCTTTCCCTGCCTCCCCAAACTGCCATCCTACCTTACGGTATGTCAGGAAATCTAGAGGTACAGAAAGAAGCGAGGAACAGTCACTTGAAGTAGTCCTCAGCTGTCCCCACTTGAGAAACAGTATTGATCTTATTTCCTTTGAAGACTTAAACACTCCCACATTCAATGCACTTTAGAACTTACCTGTATTTGGGGAACATGCCTTTTACAAGTGAATAATATAAAACAGACTGAAATATCTTCAGTTTCTCAGACTTCATACACTACTCTGTATTTTGACTACCATTTTATGGCCTGTTTCTCCGTATTTAATCCCCGACTTCTGCCCTACTCTTATACCTTCAACTGTTATGCCCCCAGAAATTCACTTTTGAACGTGGCTGTCACTGTTAAATTCTACATTAATTTTCATGGAATAATGAGTGAATCCCAACAGTAAATATAATGCAAGTTCTAGGTTTTCCTCATTAAAAAAAACAAACAAAAAACAGTTGCCATCAAGTCAATTCAAACTCAGGGCAACCCCATGTGTTTCAGAGTAGAACTGTGTTCCATAGGGTTTTCAGTGGCTTTGATCGTTCAGAAGTAGATCACCAGGACTTTCTTCCAAGGTGCCTCTGGGTAGATTTGAACCCCTAGCCTTTCAGTTAGTAGCTGAGCGCTCAACTGTTTGTGCCACCCAGGGATCCCTAGATTTTCCTCATACTGCTGTGAAATAGACAAGTTAACCATTTCTGCCTCAAGATAGGAGACCCCCCCCTTTTTTTTTAAAACTATAAAATGACTTGGGAAGCATGTGAGTGAGTGCTTTGCAGTTGGAAAAGCTCAACTTGCTTTTCCTAGGAGATTCTCTACGCTGCCTACATCGAAGGGACCAGGCTTCCCTTCTTGTTTCCAGTGTTCCTCCACCAAACGCCCTGAATCAAAAGGCCAACCTGAAAAAATGAGCAGTGATGCTTCCTGTAAACCAAACCGCAACTTACACTGGTCGGTCATAAAGTCAGCAAAGTTCCAGATAAGCTCTCCAACCACGTACTCTCTGCGCTTTTGATCCAGAACCAAATGATACTGCTCCAGCAGACGTCTCTGGTACTCTTCAGTGAACATAAGAGGTGGATCCTGGAATTCAAGGCGGAGGAAGAATTTAACGGGCAGAACTGGCAGAACTGTAAGCATCTAATAAAATAAAGCTCCCCTTGATAATGACTGAAATCTGTCCTCACGGTGGGCCGTGGAGACTGCAGGGCCCGCTGAGGCTGCTGTAGGCACGTAGCCAGGTATGACAGCACCCCCAGCAGCCTGGAAAAGAGACTTTTGTAAAACCTTAACTAGCAACTATTTATAAATATAATTCTGATACTTGCTTTGTCTTCCTTTTCCATCTCTACCCACCAGTGCAGTCTTAAGACTGTCTTTGCCTCAGGTTTTAAGTAGCTGCCAGTATATAACTGGAGAACTCGTGTGACTCAGATTTTCCTCACCGACGATTCATCTGTAGCTGATTTGGGTAAGCAGCTGTTTAGCACATTTCATCCCTTCAACAAATAACTATTTAGTGTCTGCTAATGTGACAGGAAGGAGCCTTGATGGTGTAAGAGTTAAGCACTTGGCTGCTAACCAAAAGGCTCTGCAGCAGAAAGACCTGGCAATCTGCTTCCGTGAAGATTACAGCCTAGAAAACCCTCTGGGGCAGTGCTACTCTGCCCCATGGGGTCGCTGAGTCGGAATCGACTCGCTGGCACCTCACCACAACAACGTGACAGGCACTGGAGATGAAGTGGTAAGAAAGAATCTAGCAAGGAAGACACCAGTCGTAAGCGTAATGAAGGTGAACAAGGACAGTGCGAAGGAGCTCGGGGATGTTCGCTGTTACTATTAATAGTCATGGCAACCTTATGTATAACAATGGAAACAGCCCATGGTGTGTCTGGTCAGGGAGGGAGCCCCAGAAATAATTACAGTGTGCAGTGAGAACTGCTAAGATGGAGAACAGTCGCAGCTGCTGTGGGGCAGTTTCCTCGGCCTGGGGCGGGTGGGCAGTATAAACCTCCCCAGGAGGGGACACTGCAGCTGAGACTTGAGCACTGAACAGCTGTTAGGTGGTGACCGTGGCGCTAACATGGGCATCCCAGGAGGAATAGCCCAAGCCAAAGCAGGAGAAGCGAAGGAGCACCACGAAAACAAGGCAGTGCTTGGGCATGCAGGAGGAGGAGGCTTGAAACCTGGGAGAGGACAGACAGCAAAGGCTGTTACCACCATGACTGGGGAGTGGGGCTTCATCCTGTGGGCCAGGGGACGCCACTGGTGGGGCTCCCGAGGTTTGGGTTTGTTAGGATGACTACTTGGGGTGCTGGTGGGAGACTGTCGGGAAACGAGACCAATAACAAGGCTGCTCCTGAGGCCCGAGGCAGTGAGGTGGAGGCTGGCTCCTGTCAAGGAAACTGCTCCCACTGCTCGGCTCTCACAGCAGCTGTGACTGTCCGCCATCTTAGCAGTTCAACGTGGTGGCTGAGCAAAAGCGAGGGCCAAGGAGGAGGCACATGTCTCACTCAGGCAGATGAGTGACATACATCACTGTCTAAAATGACAGCACGCACAATTTGCATCTGTTTGTTACGTTGTTTATCCCCCACTCTCTCTAAGTGGTTTCTCTTCCTGCACACATTCCTCTCAGTGCTTCCCTGTGGTTCTCCAGTGGAGGAGTGTTTTCTTGCCCCCGTGTTTTACAGCTTCAGTGCAATTCAACACAGAGCTGTCACGGGCTGTGTCCCCAGGCCAGCGAGCCGGGATTTATGAGGATGGACGGGGCGTGGAGAGAAAAAATAAGCAGAAAGCTCTACACCACTCACCTGGTGAAACCCTGCAATCGTTTCTGCTCCATACTCGCTCTGAATAATGGGCTTCTGGTAGGTGCTGTACCACTGCTCAAACTGGGTGGTCAGCTGCAGCGGGATCACTTCCAAGTGCCCATAGTCGTGATACCAGGAGTAGTAACTGTTCACGCAGATCACATCCACGTACGGAGCCTAGGACAGAGCGCAGACACCTGCTCACTAGCAGCAGGCTGCAGAGCTGCCACAGCACTCTGACATAGAAGGGAGTAACCCTGCCCCCGCGTAGGAAATGCTTCAAGACCTGGTCTAAGTGGAGCAGATCTATGACTGTGGGCTGAGGCCCTGGGCAGGCTGCCAGTGACAGGGGGCGCTCAGCACAAGTCCAAGGCCCCGTTCCCACTGAACTCTGCTCCTCTCTGGTAGTGTCTGCCCTCACCTGGCCCCGGAGAAATGTTCCCAACAGAAGTGTAAATGCAGATTTTTTCCACACAGAGGATCTTTATTCACCCTGCCAGAGGTGAGCTAGTGCTTCAGGCCCTACCATGACTGGAGGGTCTCCTCCAGGTGGAAACGGGGATGATGGGCAAGATGGCCTGGAGGCTCAACGCGGTGCAGGACTGATTCACAAAAGCTCCGCTCCGTGTCCACTTGTCTAGTCTCTAACGTCACCAGAACTCACTTCTAATAAAAACACTAATCTCCAAACTTGCATTTGGACTGATGTGGCATCCCCACCCACAGGAAAGGCTGTGGGACAGGAAGAAGTGCCTCAGGCTCTGAGACACACAAGTCTGCCTGGTGCCACCTTGGTGCCTGATGCGTCTTTAAAGGGGGTGGGGCAGTTCCACTCTGTAACACATGGGGTCGCCATGAGTCAGAATTGACTCGATGGCAACAAGTTTGGTTTCTTTTTTGGTTCTTGAGACACAGCCAGGGAAAAGCAGGGCCAATAAACATTTCTCCACGCATGTTAAAATGACACTCCACACAATCTGCAAGTGTTTGTTACACCGTTTTGTTACACCGTTTATCCCCCACTCTCTAAGTGGATTCTCTTCCTGCACACATTCCTCTCAGCACTTCCCTGCAGTTCTCCAGTGGAGGAGCGTTTTCTTGCTCTCGCGTTTTACAGCTTCGGTGCAATTCAACACAAAGCTGTCACGGGCTGCGTCCCCAGGCCAGCGGGGCATGGAGAGATGAGGGGGCCACGAGGGCAGAGGGAAGGACTGGTTCTGCCACCGGCCAGCGGTGTGGACCGGTCATTTTGACTCTGCATCTGCAGGCGTGAGTCTCATCAGCGGTTCCCGAAGCCGGCTGATCATAAGAATCACCACAGAGCTTTCCCCACTGCTCTGGATTGAACTGTATCCCCCAAAATATGTTTTGGAATCCTAACCCCTAAACCTGTTTGTTATGTTAATGAGGCCATATCAGTGTAGCTCTTGTCTTAGACCTAATGACTTCTGAGATTAAAAAAAAAAAGAACAGATTAGACACAGAAAAAAGCAAGGACAAATGGGGGAAGACAGATGCCATACGAAGGAATCAAGGAACAGAAGCTGAAAGAGATAAGGATCTTCCTCCAGAGCCACGCCCTGAATTTGGACTTGTCGCCTCCTAAACTGTTAAGAAAATAAATTTCTTTAAAAATACCCACTTGTGGTATTTCTGTCACAGTAGCACTAAGAAACTAAGATCCTCACCCTTAACTTTCTAATTTGGAATCTCTGAATGCAAAGATCTGCACTTCCAAAAAGTTCCCTTAGTGGTTCTGAGGATCAGCCAAGTTTAAACGAGAGGCACTGGACCAGTGAAACGGAAGTTCCCTGACACCTCTGGCATTTTATGAGCATATTAAATCGAGGGGCATAAAATGCTGAGTCCAAACTGAGAACTAATGAAATCTCCCTATGCCCAGCCTCTTCCAACTTAGAAGCCACACCGCGTGGCAAAGACATGGGTAGTCAGAGTCAACCTAAAGACTGCCAGTGAAAATGGTTGGACATCAGCTGTTCCTGGTTCTTTCCGGCAGTTCATTTTAGCAAGTGTTAGGACAGGACTGGAGGACAGGCAAGTGAGAAGTATGTGGAGACCCCAGGCTCACCCCCAGGTCGACGGCATAGTTGGAGTTGGTCACATAGGTCACGGGCCGGTAGGGGTCCAAGGCCTTGGTGTGGGCAATCAGCGTCCTGTCCACGGAGGGCAGAAGACACAGGGGACACAAGGTCCATCAGTCTGGGAAGGGCACTTGGACACCCATGTCCCATCATCTCCCATCCATGCCCCCCAGCCAACACCAAGACCACAACCACGACCTACACCAAGACCACCGCTTTCCTCCCTGCCTTGATGGACAGGTTAGATAACAAACATGTTCCTCCAGATCCACCTCATGATCCCTCAACATATTCTCTCTCTCCGTCACTGAATCCCAGCTGACCAGAGGAGAGGCTACCCTCATGAGGGCAAGTAGGGTACATGAGCTGACGTCCACGGGCTGGACGCTGACAAAAAGTAGGTTCTGAATCCCTCAAAAAGCTCTTGAAAATAGGAATGGATGGGATGTGGATTAGGATGGGAGATATCTTAATCTAACAATAATTAGGGAGTACCTGCTAAAACAGACTAGGAAGAAAGACTTGGCAATCTACTTCCAAAAACCAGCCAAAGAAAACCCTATGGATCACAACAGAACATTCTCCCAATATAGTGCTGGAAGATGAGCCCTCTACACTGAAAGGCAATCCAAACACAGTGGCCTCAAACAATGGACTCGAGCATACCAACGATCATGAAGATGGTGGCAGGACTGGACATTTCATTCTGTGTAGATGGGGTTGCCATGAGTCAGAGTCGACTCAATGACAACAACAGCCACCTGCTGTGAGCCAGGCATTGTATCCAGCAGTGACTTAAACAGGTTAAGTCCACAGCTTCAGGAAGCAGTAGTAGAAGATACACACACGGAAAAATGTTACGAATTAAAATTATAAATTGTAGGGGGACTCATGAAGGGGAAGCACAGGGTTCTGTGACACAATAATGGAAATCACTCAGATTGCAGAGTCAGGGACAGCCACTTTAAAGACTTGGCATTTATGCTGCAACTGAAGAATAAGTTGAGTTACCTAAGGAGGAATGGAGAGAGGAATTCCCAACAGAGGGACCAGTCTGTGGCCAGCTCTGTCCCAGGGAAGACGTGTCAGAGTCCTCCGGGGTTGTTTAAGCCTATTTTCCTCTTCTCTTTCTTTATGGCTACTTTTCCTCACACCCTCTCCCCACCACCGCACTTCTCGTTTGAAGACTGTGGTTTCTGCATGACACAACGGGTCTCCCTTGCCCTCAGGTTCTAAGGCCACACTCTGAAACCGCACATGGCCTGTTGGCTGAGAAGCTCCAAAGCCTTGTTAAGGCTGAGCTGGCCAACTCCAGCCTGGAGAGTTCTACCATTCTACCCGTACCCTGCCGCTTCATTCTCTCTGCCTCATAAAACATGCCCCTCTCTCTCCACCTCACAGGTAAGAACATGTGTAAAGCCTCTCTTCCCAGGCGCCTCTGGGTGGACTTGAACCTCCAAACTTTTGGTTAGAAACCAAGCGTGATAACTGTCAGTGCCCCCCCGAGACTCCTGGGTGTAGAAGGTTCTGTTAACTCTGGCTTTCACTGCAGGTGGGAAAGGTGGGCACTGGGTCTCACTGGGTTGAAAACCACAATTTGAGTGGGTCAATACTTGAACCCTGAACTCACCAGGTCTGGATGTACCCTCATGGGCTGGGAGGGGATGCTAGTTCTCCCACAGCATCCCAGGGCCGACCTCAGCTTTCCCACGGCTGTCAGCCAGGCCGAGCCACCCGAAGGGATAAAGCTGCCCCCCGACCCACCCTAGAGGCAGACGGGGCACTCACTTGAAGTAGTAACCAGCAGGCTTCAGGAAGGAAGCAGGCTCGTTGGCCACAGACCACATCACAACAGCTGGATGGTTCTTGTCCCTGCGCACTAGCTCCTCCATCACCTCCAGGTGGTGGTGCAGAGACACGTTGCCGAAGCTCTCGCTGTGGGGCAGGAGGGGAGGGGGTGCACGTCACTGCCCGCCAGGCTGGGCCAGCCGCGCGTTCAGAGCTGCGGGGCACTCACGCCAGCACGATGCCCACGCCGGGGCTCTCGTCGATGACCACGATGCCGTAGCGGTCACAGAGCTGCATCACCTCCTCTGCGTACGGGTAGTGGCTGGTGCGGAAGGCGTTAGCACCGAGCCAGCGTAGCAGGTTGAAGTCCTTCACCAGCAGTGGCCAGTCAAAGCCCTTCCCTCGGATCTGGGGGCAGCAGGACCCAGCAGAGTTGGGGAGGGAGCCCCTGCGATGTCCTTCTGTCTAGAGCTGGGCCCTGGAGAATCGCCCCAGCAGCCCACTATCCAGCCCCAGCACAGGCCCGGGAGGAGAGGCACTGGGCAGTCTGCTGATCTGCTCTGAGCTGCCTTCAGCTGTTTCAGGGGCACGGGAGGGTGAAGGCAGATGATAACGAGGTCCCCACGGGGCCCCACACTCACGTCGGCATCCTCGTGCTTGTTGACCCCGTGGAAATAGAATGGCTTCCCGTTGATGAGGAACTGGCTATTTGTGACAGCCACAGTGCGAATCCCCACGGGCAGGGTATAGAAGTCAGATACAGGCCCAGCTGCCGTCTGTGCAGTCAGCCGCACCTACCAGCCAGAGCGACCGGCGTGAGGCACCCTGGGTGCTGAGCCCCACGAAGCCCACTCTCCAGCACGAAGGACCCTCTCAACCCCAACAGCCCCTCTCCAGGACTGTAAGTAAACGGATGCAGAAAGCAGAGGCTTCTGCCATTGGCAAGGGAGAGCCCTTCCCTCACCCTGCCCCTGGGGTCTGCTCTTCAGAACTAGGGCCTCCCCACCAAGGGCTGAAAACACTCAGGCTGTGAACACTGAAGAATCTAACTGTATGTAGAAACAACTGAAATCTCTATCAACAGATGAATAAGCAGAATACAGTATATCCACACAACGCAGTATGACTCAGCCACAGAGAAACACGAATCCTGACCCATGCCCCTACATGGATGAACCTAGAAAACATCACGCTGAGTGAAATGAGTCAGCTGCAAAAGAACAAATACTGGATGATCCCCCTTATATGAAATAAGCAAATATATGGAAACCAAGATTATTAGTGGTGACCAGGGGTGGGAGAGAGGAGGGAAGAGAGGCTTTTGCTTTGAGTTGATGTTAATGGTGGTGGAATGATTTGGAAAAGGATAGAATGGTTGCACAACTCAAACAATGTAATCAATGTCACTGAGTTGTACATGTAGAAATTGTTGAATTAACGAATGTTTTGTGTATATCTTCACCACAATTAAAAAGAAAAAGGAGAATCTAATTATTCGAGAGGTTCAGAGGACCTTCTGCCCACCCGTCTGGGGCCTGGTGTTGAAGCCAGGGCAGGTGGAGAGGCAAACGGTCCTTTAGCCCTTAACCAGAGCCCTAACTGCCATTACCTCCAGTGAGTACAGGTAGGCAGGGTAGCTGTGCATCAGGTACGGCCACCAGAGGTGGGCGCTGGGCACCTGCAGCTGGCCCTGGGCCCCCGTGTGGTGGGCCACAACTTGGCCTTCCGCATCCAGAAGACGCACTGCCAGCTCGAAGCGTGCACTGCCCTGGACAGAAGCCTGGTAATTCACCAGCCCTGCAGGAGACAGAGAGATCAGGGCTGAGGGAGGCACGGGGCCTGGGCTGTACAGACAGGGCACACCCTCCACCACCACCCCACTGAGTCCCTGTGGGGCCCCAGACCCTGGCGAACCACAATTTATTTCTGGAGCTCCATCTGCAGTGAGGGGATTCATTGGGGGCAGCACAGTGGGGAAGGGACATGGGATTCTCACCCTGAGCTATGTGATTGTAGACAAGACCCCACCTCTCGTTGGGCTTCAGTTTCCTCAAAAAATTAGGTCAGACTAGATAGATGATTTCTGAAGCTCGTGCCCACTCAGACTCTGGATTTTAGCTTCTTAGATACATGCACCACCACTTGTCTGTCAGCTTGTCGAACTGCAGTGGATTACATGTTGCTATGATGCTGGAAGCTACGTCACTAGTATTTCAAATACCAGTAGGGTCACCCATAGTTGACAGAATTCAGCAGAGCTTCCAGACTAAGACAGACTAGGAAGAAAGGCCTGGTGATCTACTTCTGAAAACCAGCCAATGAAAACCCTATGGATCACAGCAGAATACTGTCCGATATCGCGCTGGAAGATGAGCCCCCTAGGTTGGAGTTGGAGGCACTCAAAATACACAGTGGCCGCAACAAAGGACTTCAGCAATCATGAAGACGGCACCAGACCGGGCAACGCTGTACATGGGGTCACCATGAGTCAGAGCCAACTCAACAGCAACTAACAACAGGTAGATGGGAACCTGTGAGGGTTAGAGATGCTGCGAGGGCTTTTCTCCTGGAGGATCTTTCTGGGCCTGGCCGAGGACAGACGCTGCCAGGAGTCCTCACCATTGTCTTGGTCCACGCCGGTGGTGACAGTGATGTCATCGATGTAAGTGGTGGGCGTGGTGTAGAGAAGCACAGGCCGATGGAGTCCGGCATAGTTGAAGAAGTCAAAGTTAGTGTCCTGGACAAAGTAGCCCTTGGGGTACCTGGTGTGGGAGGACAACACCGAGTTGGACCTACCCTGGGTCCTTCAACCTCAGGTCTCTGCTTAGGCCACCCTGCCCCTATCGGGAAGGCCACTGGGCAGAGTGGTGTGTGGGGGCAGGGGGCAGGGCACCACTCACTTGGAGGTGTCAGTCTTGTAGAGGATGGTGCCTGGTGGCAAGGTGTTGGGGGTGAGCGTGTTGTTGATTGCGATGGTGATTCGGCAGGACTCGAGGGGGCCAACCTGCACCAGCTTGCTGATGTCAACCTCGAAGGGGAGGTGGCCCCCTTCGTGCTCTGCCACGTGGACCCCATTCACCCACTGCAGACATGGGGAGACAGAGGGAGGGGCAGCAAGCCAGGGTGTGAGGAGGAAGCCCTACAGTCTTCTCTCCCCCAGCGCAGGGCGCAGACCCCACAGTGGGGCACAAGTGCAGCCCCTAATCCCCAGAGGCAGCTGTCAGGTGACGGCTGGAAGCCAGGCACCCAAAGGCAATGCCATGCGTGCACCCCTGCTGCCCACCACACTGACCACAATGGCGTAGTAGTGGGCACTGCCAATCCTCAGAACCACTCTTGTGCGCAGGTCCTGGGTCCATCGCTGGGGCAGGGCTGCCTCCCGTTCGTACCACACCCAGCCGATGAAGCCACGCAGCCACCTGTCCTGGGTCACGTCATTGAAGCTGGAGGGCACGGGCATGTCCAGGGTAGGGCCCAACTGGGGGAAGAAGCGCTAGAGTCAAGGCCAGGGGACTCGCCAAGGCCAACAGCCAGGAGTCTACGGCCAGGGCCCAGGGACCAGGAGGCACCAGCTGGCCAGATCCCCCACCAGCCCTGCTTGAAGGAAGAAGGCTGGAAAAGATGTGCTTTCTCAGACCTGGAGATTCCCAGCCGCCCCTCCATCATCATTCTTTACCAACAGTACCCAGTGCCTTTTACGGAGCTGACTGAAATCTCACAACTCAGAGTATGTAGTGAACACCTACAGCACTATCCTAGGTGCTGGGTATACAGCCGTTTAACAAGGCAAAGCTGTTGCTTTCAGCCAAGGGAAAAAAAGTAAGGAAACAACCAAATCACACGCTGTCAGGTGCTGATCAGCGCTAGGAAGAAAAAAAGGCCAGGGCCCAATGGATACCACCTCAGGACATCCCTTTAACCTCTGGACCACGCGCTTGGCTGCTAACCGGAGGTTCGAGTCCTCGAAAGAAAGGCTGGCAATCTGCTTCTGAAACACCAGCCACTGACAACCCAATGAGCACAGTTCTCCTCTGACACACATGAGGTCGCCATGAGTTGGAGTCAACTCCACAACTGATTAACTGGGTACCACTAGGATGTGACCTCCAGGAAGGCAGGGACCTTCTCTGCCCTTCACAGTGGTTTCCCCAGAGCCTAGCACAGGTCCTGGCACACAGTAGGGGCTCAATAAATATTTGAGGGATGGATAATTTGGTGATGGGAGGTTAATTGCCAGGGTGGTGTGAGCCTGAGGGCTGGTGGGGCCAGAAGTCGTTCCTGCAGAGATGAGACCCTGACTAAGAGTCAGATGATTCCACAGGGGCAGCTTGGTGGAGGAAACTGTGAGTGGGGCACACGCCTGGCACCCCACCCCCTCCTCTCCTGCTGAATGGTGGCGGACACAGTCAGAAAAAGAGGACCTGGGAGAGGCCAGTGCCAGAGGGGCCCGCAGACCTCCCCCTACCCCACTTCTCTGCCAGGGGCCCACTCAAGTCAGGAGGGGAGAGTTGCGGTGGGATCGCTGTCTGGGTGGGTGGCAAGTCCCGCCCTCTATCTGAACCTTGGCACCCAAGATCCTTCCCACCAGGGCAGAGCTTGTCCCAAGATGGCCAAACCCACCCCTTACCCCCGCCCCTGGGTCTGTGTGCCGCTAGCACTGCTCTGGCTTGGTCTCCCCCAGCCAGGGAGGGTGCAGCCGCCCACACATCCCGTCCACGACCTGGCCTCCTCTCACTTCCTCCTCTGTCCCTCTCTCACTCTCCAGAGCCCTTGCCTTCAAGCCCGTTAATCCTTTCACTTCCCGCTGGCCGGCAGCTCCTGAGGGCACAGAGGAAGGAGCTTGGGGTGCTGGATGCCCCACTCCCACCATGTGGCTTCTAGCGCGTCCCTGCCCCAGGACCGGGGTCCCCTGCCCATACAGTGGGGGGGGGGGGGGTGCCAGGCGTGTGCCCCCTCACAGTGTCCTCGGCAAGACGGCCCCTGCCCCCGCTAGCCCTCTCCCTGCGGAAATGCTCCGCCTCTTGGTCAGGGTCTGACCTCCCGCAGCGGCCGCTGGTACCACTGCTCCTCGAAGCCCTGGCGCCGGCTGTCAGAGAAGTCCGCTCGGAAGCTCCAAAGGCCGCCGAGCTCCTTGCGCTCCCGCGACGGGCTCTCCCGGGGGTACAGCATCCCGCCCTGCAGCGCCAGTCCGCAGCCCCAGAGGAGCGGGCCGAGGACGGCCACGGCGACCGCCGCCGTCCGGGCCATGGCTCCCGCGCTGCAGCTATACGAGTAGTTGCCAGGCTCTGCCCCACGCCGGAGGCCAGCAGGGGCCGGAGCAGGGGGTCACGTGATCCCGGGGCGCTGGGTCACGTGGCCCGGCCTGAAGCCTCGCTCGCCGTTTTGGTTGAGGGTAAACGCCAGGCTTAGATGAGCCGGCGAGACCTGAGTCCCGAGGCACGTGCTCCTGCTAAACTGAGGGCGGCGGCCAGGACAGGCCTAGCCGGGAGTCCGAAGTTACGAATTTGGGACTACCGCTCCCAGCCCCACTCCAGACGGGCAGAGACCCGGGGCCGCCCTCCCGCCCACAAACCCGGGCTCCGCGCCAGCCCGCCCCGCCCATGCCGTTACTGACAACCGGAGGGCAGGGCGGCCAAGCCGCGACCGCAGGCCAGAACGGAACCTTGTGAAACCCCTCACAGCGGAAGGTCGGGTTCCCAACGTTTCAACTGGCGGGCCAGTCTCTAACGACTTCGACTCGCTCTCTCCTCTGCTGGGCACTGGACAGGCTCAGGTGAAGGCCCTACTATGCCTAGTGGAGGCTCCCCTCAGGGATGCCTGCCCCAGGGGCAGCACCCTGACCTGGGTACAATGGTTCAAACAATTACCCAATCTTTTGTTTATTGTTTGCCAAAGCAACCTTCTGATACTGGACCTTGATAATGAGAATAGAGTCCCCCAGGATAGTAGAAATAAATATAATCTACTTATTAGAACCTAGCTACCAGAGTCTCTGAGTAGTGCAAATTCAGCTGCTAACCAAAAGGTTGGAGATTCAGTCCACCCAGAGGCACCTCAGAACAAAGACCTGATGATCTGTTTTCAAAAAATCAGCCACTGAAAACTGGAGCAGGATTCTGCTGTGATACACATGGGATCACCATCAACTGGAGTTGACTGGATGGCAACTGGTTTACTAGTAGGAACTGACAAGCTCTAAAGGATTTTCCCCTGTGGTGAGTAGTGTCTGGGGTCTAAAAGCTTGAGCATGGCCATCTAAGATACAGCTATTGGTTCCGTCCTGTCCAGAGCAAAGGGGAATGAAGAAAACCGAAGACACAAGGAAAATATTAGCCCAAAGGACTAAAGGACCACATGAACCACAGCCTCCACCAGCCTGAGTCCAGACGAGTTAGATGGTAGCCAGCTACCACCACCGACTGCTCTGAGAGGGATCACAACAGAGTCCTGGGCAAAACGAGAGAAAAATGTAGAACAAAATTCAAATCCATGAAAAAAGACCAGACTTATTGGTCTGACAGAGACTACTGGGACCTCCGAGACTGTGGCCCCCAGACACTCTGCTGACTCAGAACTGAAACCACTCCCAAAGCCCACCTTTCAGACAAAGATTAGACAGGCCTATAAAATAAAACAAACCATAACAGACATGGGGAATGTGCTTCTTATTTTAATCAAATATATGAGACCATATGGACAACTCCTGCCCAAAAGCAAGATGAGAAGCAGGAAGGGACAGGAACTGGACGAATGGACGCAGGGAACTTGGGAAGGAAAGGGGGAGTGTGCTGTCACATTGTGGGGATTGCAACCAATGTCACAAAACAATATGTGTCTAAATTTTTGAATGAGAAACTAACTTGAGCTGGAAACTTTCACCTAAAGCACAATAAAACTAAAAAGTAAATAAAGGCTTTCTGCCAAATGCTTGCAATATAAAAATAAGAGGAAGAAGTAGGATATAAAAGTAGATATAGTATGATCTCAATATTGTTAAAATTATATCCACACAGATATGTAGATAATGTCAAAAATAAAATTTTCATTAGTAAGTCAATTAGAGTTAACAGGGTTTGTTGAGTGAGAAACTGAACAGGAAACACTGCAAACTGAAAAAGGTGAGGGGCTTGAGTTTACTCAGTTAGAATGCCCTTTTAAAGCTTAGATTAGTTAGTATCTTGCCCTTTGCTTTGATTGGTTAATCACATTTAATTTTCTTTTTGTTTTGGGAAAGTTGGTCACTGAATGCTAAGCTGGCTTATCTTGATTGGATGAGTATTGCTGACTCATGCTTACAATTCTCATTGACTCATGCTGTTAAGGAAAACTTGCCTAAGTTTTGATTCTGTATAAAGTTATTGCTTCTTGTATGCAAATGGCCTTATGACTGATAATTGTTTGGCTCTTGGCTGAGGGAAGCCATTTTAACTCTTGCCTCTGTAAAAATTTTTATAGAGTCTTGATTTGTGATCTTGGGCAGAAGCTGTCCACTTTGCGACATCATCTACTTGATCCACTGTCTTGGGACAGCTGTCTACTTCCAATCAGCATCTACTTCTGGGGTGCAGTGATCTTGAGTGAGTTTAAATTTTAATTCCGTTAAAGGCTCATAGGACCAAGCCTGAGAAAGCGGCTCTTTTTAGTTGAGAGATATGCACCCAGGGCTCTACCCTGCTGAGTTTCACTGCTGTGTGAGTGGTGGGCAAGACCTGGAATGGTTCTTTCCAGTGGGATTCTAGGACTGGGTTTTGGTTTTAATATCTTTTCCAGAAATACCAAATCTTCTGGTTCAAGGTTATGTGGGATATGTTCTTCTTTAGGGTAGAGGTCCTGAAAGTGGCTTACACTTGTTGGGAATAAGCCTAGGAATGGTCCATTGGTCCACTGCAATGTTGAATCATGTCACTCTTTGTAAGGGCTGGGTCTGTGTAAGGTATATATCCTAAATGCATGGGACATCCTGTCATAATTTCATAAGATAATAGCCAATACTTTCCTGATGAGGTAGATCTAATAACTATGAATACCAAAGAAAACACTTTTGGCCAGGGTAGATTTACAAATTCTGAGAACTTGGACAATTTGAATTTTAAGGTGCCATTTGCTCTCTCTACTTTGCCAGAAGACTGGATTATAGGGACAATGTAGATGTTGACAAAATTGGCACAACATGGCAGATTTCTTTGATAATTGTGCCATGAAATGTACACCCCTACCACTGGACAATTTAGAAAGCACACTCCAGAGAGGAAAGACTTTCTCTAACAATCTTTTAGCTACTGTAGTAGCATCTGCTTTTAGCAAGGATAAGCTTCAACCTATACAGAAAATAAACAATTACTAACATATAATTATATCCCATAGAAGGTGGAAGTTGGATAAAGTCCATCTGCAATTGCTCAAAAGGTCCAGTTGGTTGAAATGTAATACCAGGTGAGACTTTAAGAGTCTTCCCTGAGTTATGAGTTTGGCAAGTATAGCATTGATTACATACTTTTTGATCTGCTTTTTGGCAGTTACGCTATCAATAATTGCCTATAACAAGAATTAGTTTTTAAATTCCATGGTGGGTGGTTGCATCAAGGCTCAAAGAACGGGAATTTTTAGGTATTCTGGGATGAGCAGGTGTCCAATCGGGCCTCCCCAGAGTCTATTCCTGGGGCTTATTTTATAACCCTGGGACTTCCGATCTTGTTTTCAATTTCAGAGGCTCCTTACTGAGCCTTTCTCAAATTGTCTGGGGATGTTCCATTAAGAGAGACTTAATCCAGTACACAAAGTTGTCCAGGGGCTCAAAAGGTTTGAGCAGCAGCTAATTTAGCATGGTAATTAGCCAAGGTATTTCCTTGACATTTAGGATTTCTTTTAGGGGCGTCAGCCTCAATGTTTATGATGGCAAATTCTTTAGGCAATAATAAAGCATCTAAAAATTTAGCTACTGACTTTTTTCTTACAACAAAGACCTGGAAAAACAAGTGATTTGATTCTATGTGAACATCTGGCAGCCCTGAACAAGGCAAGGTTAAGAAATCCATCTGAGTCATACCAGAGAGGAAGACCGTTTGGAAGAGGTGAGGAGCGCTAGAGCTGCAGCGGCGACACAGCAGAGACACAGCCACACTGGGCCACGGTGAAGCAGGCAAACAGCTGTGCTATGCGCACTCTCGAGAAGCAGTTTCCACATCGAGAGAGACCCGGCAGCAGAGATTCTGCTTGGACACTCCGAAGCAGTGAAGAGCAGCTCCCAAGAGGCTAGGATAAGTACATGCATGCACCCTTTCACAGCAAGTTAAAAAAAAAAAAAAAACCCATTTGGGAAAAACCTCTCTCCCTTTTACCTCCTACTTCTGCACTCTGCACTAGATTTGGGAAAAACCTCTCTCCCTTTTACCTCCTACCTCCGCACTCTGCACTGGATTTGGGAAAAACCTCTCTCGCTTTTACCTCCTATCTCCACACTCTCCACTGTATTTGGGAAAAACCTCTCTTCCTTTTACCGCTTCCCTCCCCACTCTGCACTGGGAGTCCACTGGGCCAGAAATACATCCCAAAAGGTGCCCTGACCCATCCGCCTGGCCTTGGAGAGGGAACAAATAAGCTGCTGGCTCCCCTAGGCCAGGAACACAGGGTTGGCACAATTCCTTTGCTGGCCGTAGAAATCAGGGGTCCGTAGACTCTGAGTGCCATACACCCCTGTATAGACTTGTGGGGACCCATCTCAATTGCGTTGGCCCTCACTACCACAGTACAACAGGGCAAACATCTGAAGTTTAACTTCAACTGCTTCAGCTGTGAACAGGCAGATTTGTGATCCTCGAAACAGCCCTGTCCCTCAAGTAGGCACTTTTATCGATCTGCAGCAGGGTCTTGAGGACTGGTGATAGTTCCTAAAGTGCCTAGTCACCTGCTTCAGGAGTTCAAGAAAAAGTGGTGCCCTCGAGTCTTTGCAGCCAACAAAGTTCACATAGTGGGGCGCTCTTAGCCCAGCTGCAAAACTCACCTACCTATTCACCCTAGAGAATAGGGACACACTTTTCTTTCAGATTCTCAGGGGCAGCCATCGGCCCCCTGCCTGGCTCAGCACGTGATCCCCTACCACAGCCAGAGTCCAGTGCCTGCACCAATCACCCATGCCTCTCTAGGACTGGGGGTGAGAGCCTGCATCACACACTTGGAGATCGACTGCCTGCACACCCGAGCTGATCCCATATAGGAAATTTTAATGAACTCCAGCGTGCACATACTTACTTACAGAACCAATTACCTGGTGACAGGACATTAGAAATCAAA